AAAGCAATGCAATTTGGTCTGGTTTGATTGGTTTTTGCTATCCAACGGTTTTTTAACACCTAAATAACTCGTACAATTTGTTAGATCTAGAATTAAATAACAACAAACCACTCATAAATCCCATACAAACATACTGACATCAGATCAAAATTAAAGCATGGAAATAAAAAATAATAACCATTAGTCGTTCTCTGCTCTCTGTATAATATATTGAGTTTGTGAATCTATACATGTAACCCTCCCTCTCTCTTGATAATTTTAGTGTCATCAACTAGTTGGTATAAACATGAATTACTTGAAATGGAATAAAGTGATAAGGCAAACATAAGTGAGTTAGGACGTGCGTGCACACTCACAAATGTTGGCTCTATCATCTTAGATCGTCATAACGCGGGGGTCAAGGTGGTCGTTCCCCTAGCAGGGTTCCAAGGGGCAGAGCTCCTTGGCGGTCGTCCCTCTGACCGATGAGCGGGTGGGGTCGGGGGCAACGCCACGATGTTTATAAAATTTTAGAATAGTTACACTTAGAGATTTTGTGTTTCGAGGATGATCTGGACTAATTTCAGTACGTTGGAAACATCCTTGAATTGGGTCTCAAACTTGGTGGAAATTTCACTAAGTCCAAGGTTGTGTAATCAGAGCTTTAATCCTCTTGATTAGAGTTCTGCGTCATCGTTGAAAATATCTAAGTGTAAACTGAGTTAGAGCAATTGGAGATCTGATTTATGGAACCAGAGATTTGGTCCATGGAATCAGACTTTATGATCTGGAGAAAATTGACTAAGTTTGAAACTCTTGCAACCTGAGTTAGAGTCAGAGTTTAGCTCTTTGCAATTAGGGTTATGCTCTGTGCAACCAAACTTAGACTCGATACGATCATCTGATAACAGTTGTGACTGTTCTTTAAATTTTACACATTATAACCGTTCTTAACCGCCTGTAACCGTCGATCGCTCATATAGATATGTAAACGAGAATCTAGATATATATTAGAACTCGATCTCACAACCTTTGAGATCTAGAGAGTTTCTTTTATATTATCTCAATACGAAATTCGTGATACCTAAGGCTATAAGGGACGAATTACTGTATTTGGACAGTGAGTTTTCCTGATCCAAAGAGATTATCCAGTCACGTATCGTCTCCAAATCCCTATATCTAACACCTCTTGTTCTCTCTTATAAGATCCGGAGAGAACCTTAAGAAAGAATCGGAAAAAACTCATTTAAATCGTTAGATCGAGATGATCGATCTAACATATGTGATTTGAAAAAACGATTATAACCATCTTTTTAAAAGAATAGAACATCTCCAATATTTTTAATAGAAACTTGACCAAATGCTAAAAAAAATTAGTCACATATTCTAACATGTATGAAAAGAGCAACTAATGGTGTTATATATATATATATAGAGTTGGGTTCTGGTGAGAAAGAGGGTTAAGGTGAGAAGCATAAGAAGAGATCGCCACCCTTGGATGAACATTAGGATGAGATGAACCGAGATGCACCAGATCAATCATCGTATCAATCGCGATTCATGGGTGAATTTGAGATTAAAGGTGATCAAGGGTTTAGATCCCTTCTTATACACTTCTTATTTTAACTCTCATTCTCATATGATCATTCGCCAATATATATATTTACATATATGGACAAGCTCAAACGAGAAGTTAAACATTTTACGAGAAGTTGAGAAATCTTAATATCATATATGATTACACACATGATAGACACTTAATCATATATGATAAAACACATATTGCATTGGCAACATATAAACGCTTAATCATATATGATTAAACACACCCAAAGAAGTAACCATATATGATATTGAAACTTCTCCCCTTCTCGCAAAATGTTAAACTTCTTGCATGATACTCCCTCTCTCTCTCTCTCTCTATATATATATATATATGTATATATAGGCCAACAAAATACAAACCGCCTAGATGTTATACACCGTACAAACCAATCTCAATCGTCTGTGCAGATTATCAAATAAATGTCAACGATATGGACTGAATCGGTTCCGAAGTTTGCCCTCAACTTTATTTGCAACTAATTTGGTAATCGCCAAAAAAAAAATTCAAAATACAAAAAATCAAAAACCAAAATTCGTTTGTACAATATATTAACATTTAGATGGTTTTTATTTGATTTGTTCTCTCTCTCTCTCTCTCTATATATATATATATATGAAGTTTCAAACACAAACCATGTAATTCTTACAAACCCTACAAACTTAATCTCAACCATTGATTTTGTTTATTTTATTTTGAAATTTATAGGCATTTATAAAATGCGGTTGAGAGTAAATTTAGGAACCAAAATAATCCACACCGTTGACTATCTACATATACGGTTGAGATTGGTTTGTAAAGTTTGTAAGAATTACATGGTTAGGTTCAAGGAAAAACAACCAAATTATGAAAATATGATAAATATTCTAGTAACCATTCATATGTATGATATACATATATGCATACAAGTAATTGATTCAATGTGCACATCTCCGTAACATAAACACGTGCATAGAAATTTGGAAATATCTATCAATCTCTTGTATGCATACATACATACCTTACAGATAAATAATTATAAAAGCATTTCTCAGTTTTCCAATTTTTGAATTTTTCCTCTAAACTTCTCTATCTACACATGCACATACACACACACACATATATATATATATATATATATATTAATTTGTAATATATGCATGCTTGTACTTTAGTCTAAATACAAAAAGTACTAAATAATTTTGTTAATATTAATTGTTGGCATCCAATAATGCATCCTTTAGTTTTGAACTATAAATACAATATAGATACAAAAATACTACTAACTTATTTATTTATTATTATTATTATATTCCCATTTATATTATTTTGGATATATTCACATATGCATGAAGATACATCGCCCTTAATTTGCTACCTCCAAAACAACTTTCTAATATATTATTTGAAAACTACCATATATTTTAATTTGATTATTGTGTTATGTAACCTAATTTCATCATTTTATTTTACGGAAAAGTCTAAAAAACCCAATGGACTTTAGTGTTTGGAATGATTAAATCATTGGACAATTTTTTGGAACAAATAAGTTCTTGAACATTTCAAAACATGTTAAATAACTATTTGGACAATTTTTTGGAACAAATAAGTCTTTGGACAATTTAAAACATGTTAAATAACTCATTGAACAATTTTTGGAACAAATAAATCATTGGACAATGCAAAACATGTTAAATAACTCCTTGGACATTTCTAAAACCTGTTGGATACATTCTTATAACTTGTACAACTAGTTAAAGTGGTAAAATAGTGAAAAAAGTCCGAAAAAAACTCCAATGAATATTCATATTTTGAACGATTAAGTCTCTAAATATTTTTTGAACCAAAAAGTATTTATATCTATAAAATTAAACAAATATAACAAAAAAGTACTTACATTTACAAAAAAATAATTACATTTAAAACA